CCCTGTTGAAAGTCTGCCTTTCCCTCCCTTGAGTGCTGGGATGCCTCTGTTGCTGCCCCCTGCTCACCCGCCCACCCACCCACCTTCTTGATGTCCTTATTGTTGGTCGGGTCGTCCGTCATCTTGTAGAAGAGCAGCTCAATGATCTCCTTCTGCTCGTAGCTGTAGCCTTTCCTTTTGCAGACAATCACCACTTTGTCAAATAAAAACAAATACCTGCCAAAATGTAAATGGATGGATGGATGGGTCAAGAGCCAGACCACAATCACCAATAGCAATTTGCCCCTCTTAAAGAAGAAGCTCCCGGCCCCGTCTTCCTTGATTGCTCACCTGTCCTGCTTCGTGTGGTTGACGATGGAGCGGACCTTCAGCTCCCCATCAATCTTTGGCCTCCCGTACTCTTCCAGTTTCACTGGCTGTGGCAGGAAAAGGTTAAAAGAGGCCAAAGGGAATATCACAACACAGGCACTGAAAAGCTTAAATGGACCAAAAGGCTCCCTAAGACAGGAAAAGGGAACCGACGTGGTCAACCTTTGAGACCCACCCTTCTTCTTCCGCTGTCCAGAGCTGCCTTAGTGTCGGGCACGGAAAATGCTTCCTGATGCCCCATTGATGCTGTTAATCGGGGAGGAAATGCCAGGGAAAATTAGGCAGTTGGAATCAGGGGCCTTCAGATCCTAGAATCCTGGAGTCGAAAGGGACCCCCCCCCCAAATAAAGCCATCGAGCCCAACCTCCTGCTCAAGGCAGGAATCCAAATCCATCTCGCAGAGGGGGGGGTGTCCAGTGTTCTCTGGAAGGCCTCCAGCGCTGGAGCGCTCACCACCACCTCCCGAGGCCATGGGTTCCATCATCATACTGCTCTAACAAGAGGTTTCTCATGATCTTCAGTCGAAATCTGGCTTCCTGTTGCCTGAGTGAAGGAAGGAATTTTTTTTTGCCCTTACCAAGTTTTCTATAGAGCTCTGAAATTCACTGATTTTCTTCAGTGTCTCTTTGTCCCGCTTAACTTCATTTATGTACATGGCCAAGTCCTGAAAAAAAGAGACGCAGCCGACACTGAAACACTAAGCCTCATGGAGGGAGGGAGGGAGGGAGGGTGTGTATGCGTGTGTGTGTGTGGGGGGGCTGGCCAGTGCCGTTATTGCACATGAGAAAGGGGTAGGATACGATTTTAAACTTTTTATTTATGTATTTAAAATATTTCCACTCTCCCTTTCTTCTTACAAGGGAACCAAGGCAGCTTACATCATCATCATCATCATCACCATCACCTGAGAACTGCTGGGCTGAAAGGGACCCTATAGATCGCTGAGTCCTGCCCCCAAAGACAGTATTTAAAGTGAACAACAGTAAGAACAGTATACGATTATGGAAAAAGACCAAACAAACACAACACAACAAAAGAGGAAACCGAAGCAACACCAGTGGGAAAGAAACACAACTCCTCCTCTTAGCAGGCGTTTCTCCTCCACTTCACTGCCCTTGAAGGTGTTGGGATCCTGTCCATTTTAAGATGGGGTGGGAAGCCTTTTCTTCCCACGTGAGAGTCCTGGCCTTCGTTCAGGATTCACAGCAATTTGGACAAACCGTTTCCTTGGTGTGACCGGGGGGGGGCAGGGGGCAGCCAGTGGCGTAAACATGTCCCCTTCCATTTTAAGATGGGGTGGGAAGCCTTTTATTCCCACGTGAGAGTCCTGGACTTCCTTCAGGATTCACAGCAATTCGGACAAACTGTTTCCTTGGTGTGACCGGGGGGGGGGGCAGGGGGCAGCCAGTGGAGTAAACATGTCCCCTGTGTTAGAAGCAGGGAGGCAAAAAAAGAGGCCCCCCCCGCCTTGGCTGTCCCAGAAACTTGAAGGGTTTCCCCACCAACACCAAAAGGCGGCTTCTTCTAAAGCTCCCCCCCCCCGAAATATTCTTGCGGCCACTTTTCCTGCAGAACTGAGGGCCCCTTTGCCAGTCACATGCCAGCCGCCATTGTGGGTGGACGGCCCTCGTGGCTGCCCACAAGGAAACACGTCACGCTGCCCACAGGTGGCGGCAGCAGCAGCAGCTGGGCGCACCGCTCCTTTGGCAGCTGGCACTGAGCCCCATCGAGGCCGGCTCTCCCAGGCTCCCATCCAGCCTTCTTTCAGGAAGGAGAGAGACGGCTGGGCAGCCGGGCCCTCCGCCGTGGCGCTGCAACTCTCCCAGCAGGCACAGGAGGGCGGCAGCAGCTGGCACGAGATGGAGAACGAAAGCCGGGCGCCCGACCGACCGACACAAGGCCCACCTATTGGAGGGAGATAAATGCAGCCGTGGCGCTGAGCTCCGACCAACCACATGGTGCCAGCGTTCAGCACTGGCCGGCGCCGACTGAGGAACTGGCAAAAGGTGTCCGTGGCTGGTGTGGAGTGGGACCTTGTGCTCACGGGGACCTTGCAGGGGGAAGAGCAGAGGCGCCAAGGGCCGTGGCACCTCCTGCTGCCCCAGAGTGATTCGGAATTTCTCCTCCAGACTGCCAGTCCCAGAGTCCCTCAGCAAGCATGACTGGGGATGATAGGACCCGGAAACTTAGGCATGCCCTTCCTGGTTGGGAGACCTATCCTGTGTCCTGGATCCTCTCGGCAGGTGGGCGGGAGAGGTGGGGCTGCCAAGACAGGGTTGGGAGGGGGGCTGAGGAGGGGGGGTGCAGGGCAACCCAAGCACAGCTTCCACCTCCCTGTTTGATGTGCAACCAAAAAGTGGAAGATGCAGGATCAGAAAAATGGGGAAGTTTAAAAAAATTATCTGGGCTACCAAAGCCAAGCCCGACCTCGAGATGGAAGAGACCTCAGTGGGGAAAGACCTTTCATTCCCCCAGCGCCCCCCCCAGCTGGCGAGCGTCCCTGAGCCGAGAGGTTCCCGGGTTGAACAAGACCCCAGCGCTCCCTGCCCTCCCATTCCAGTTGCTCGGCCCTCCGGCTGGGGGAGGAAGGAAGACCGGACACGCCCCCCCCCCGTTCCATTCACTGCCTCGTTGCCTATTCACTCCCTGCCCGTCCTTTTTCCCCTCAGCTCTCCTTCCTGTCAGCTCCGGATGAAGGAAGTGCGGGCTTTTCCAAGAGGAGACCGGCCTCTCCCACCACCACCCCCCCACCCCTCGGCCCCTCCAGCGCTCCT